GCATCAGGCGTTCACATATTGCCGATGGGGGGAAACACGTTGCCAGTGGCAACGACCTTCTCAGCAATTCCGCACACTCTTCATGACGTCACGACTCTTGCATAAATCTCTTTCTCACAGTTTTCTGCAATTTCTGTTGGGTCTGCATTCCAGCGGAAATTTTTCGCGATGTTGGCGGGATTTCGCGTGAGTTTCCTCTTATTGCATGCCATGAAGAAGTTAGGGTTACTTCTGATCATTTGAAAGAAATTGCTATGCTTAACCATCTTGCATTACTATTCTCTGGAGACATTTTTTTCAAGATTTATTTGTGGGGAGCCCGTTTATTTTTACACGCGAAAATCAAGCAAAAATGAAGAAGAAATTCTTGATCATGCAATTAGAGCATTTTTTGTAAACTTTTCTGAACCTTTTTTTGGAAATCCAGACATTTGATCAGTGATGAAGGAATTCATGCTTTGAAAAAAGAATGATTTCAATTTGTCAACGGGAATTCCGAAAATTTAAGATACATTATAGACGGGAAAGGGCTCATTTTTCGTTAAGACCCCATTTTCCCATGAGAAGATCCACATGAATATTTTTTTAATATGTCTAGATTTTTGAGAAACAGTGCATATAAAAATTCCGACTTCAAAGAAAGTGACAAACCCATGTCTTTATTCCGAATATTTTCGGGATAGCAGTTACCATGAAAAGTTTTTGCCATTTTCAAATTCCTTCCAGTAGTCCAGCATTATTGTGAATTTAAATTAAAGATCAGATTCTGTTGGAACACCGTTCTTCGTGTGATGGAAAATATTCATTCTGAGAAACGATTTTCGAAACTGCGACATGCTTGCGAGAAAAATTCGGAGATGCTTATGACCGTGAAAAAAACAAAAATAATTTACACTTCGCCAGAACATTTTGACGATTTGTTTCGACGTGGAAAATAACGCACAACATCGGTGGATTAGTGGAAACAGTCTCACAAACGAGGTAATGTTCGTCGAGTTGCAGCTGTGCAGGTCATAAATTAGGGCAAAAACGCCAACTTATTACCTCGAGGAAATTTTGCAACAGCCAACAAAACCCGATTGCACTAAATGTCTGCCATAAAACTGCAACCTCCACTGGGAGAGTAATTATCACTTTTTTTTGTGGAAATAAATCCGCGTGAGGACAACTTACAATTTCTGTTGACAACTTGTTTTCGCAGAAGTTGTGCTCAGTTTTCGACGAAGTCAATCGGTTACACAGTAAATGAAGCACTACTCCATGACGAATAAATTTGTCTAAGCAGCCAAAAAAAAAAAATAGCCATTCGAAATTGAGTGATTTTTTCCTGTAGTCAAACTATTCTTCTGCAATTGAAAATCAGCCCTGTTTTCTGGTGATTTCGAGATATTATTTCGTTAAGTTCGCAAAATATTTCCAGGAAAGTATTTCTTCTTCGGGAAAATGAAACAGTGTGAGTTTGATTTTCGCAGAAACACGCATGAATTTTCGAAAACAAATGTTCATCTCCGTCGATGACATGATTTTCGCTGCATCAATCATTTTGTCAATTTCTTCAATTAATTTTTTTCATGGACACGTTACGTTTACAAGACCTGAAGAGCGATATTTTGATGATAAATTGGACACACTCAGAAC